AATCAAGGCTTTTGTGTTAACCACTCCCACCCAGAGCAATGGCAACTAGGTCAGAAGTGATGAGAACAGAGCAATGCCATTTGGTATTCCCCACCAACAAAGGCAACTAGATGAAAGAAAAACATTCCACATTCCTTCCTATAGCACACCATAAATCTAGAATGGGAATTATGGGGAATTTGAGTGATTAAAGGATAATGTAACCAATTTAAATTTGCAGATAAAATTTTGACTTTGCTTAGCGTGAATTATCAGACAAATATGAAAAGAGAAAACCATGTATTTTGTTGATATGAAATTGTCATTTCTTTGTAGGTCAGTCGTGAACTGTTGATATTTTCATAAAGTCCAATTCTGTGAAGGAACAGTGAGACTATAGGATATCAACTTTAGTTTTGTTTTCAAGAATCACCAAGTAGGAAGGATGGATAAAGAAAAGGAAGTGCAACTTTTTCATTTTAAAGCTTCTGCCTATAGAATTAAATGTGAATGAAAGTATGTGAAAGTATGCAAAAATATTGGTGGGATAAATGAGACAAAAAGTAATTTCACTTTTCTATCAAGGAGTGCCTGCAGTGTGAGAGTCATGGCCCCTTATGGTTTACAAATTTTTCTGACTGGTTCTAAGTCCCCAGTGAACCTCATGGTCTAAGATGGGTGCTTGAGCTCTAACTTTTAGGTACATGGGAACTGGTCAGAGAAGTTGTTTCCCATCCTGGCAGAGGCCAGACATTGCAGAACAATGGAAGCCATACTGCAAGGCTTGGACAGGCCCTTCCCTGCAGATGCCTTCTTTGCAGGCACAGGGAAGGCTTTTGAATATTAAGCAGGAGACAGACATAGTTGGATGTCTGTAGAAACCCTGTAGATAGTTTTGAGAAGCACAAGATGGAAAACAGCAGGCCAGTGCAGGAACTAGGCAGAAGCACAAAGGATAGATAAAGTCAAGTATCTTCACTGGTGCAGCAATGAAGATAGCAAGCATAGCCTACACTTTCTGGGAAATTTAAATGCAAAGAAAAGATAGAGCTTGAAAGATAACAGAAAGGTGATGCAAGGTCACAAGGATTCCACCTTCCTTCTGGCCATCAAGGAGTAGGTATGAGGAAATGGGTGGCTTTTGCTGAAGAATGTCTTCAAAGGAAGTATCTTTAGAGAGAACCAGGATCAGAGAATGCGTGCAGAGAGGGAGCTTGTGAGCTAGATGCTGACAACTGAAGAAGCCTTCTGCTGAACACAGTTGAGAAGGGTTGGAGTAGTCTAGGCTAAGAAATAAAATCTAAAAAAGGGTTAGGTTATTTGGGGATAGGCAATTGTTGAGTTATCAAGAACTGTGGTGTTGGCTGCACTTGGATGGGTGGAAAGGACAGATATCTACTGTCCTTGAGGTTACTATGCAGATAGGCCAGCTTCCGTGACCCTTACCATGGGTGCTCAAGACAAAGCGCTCAATAGAATCTTATCTAGAAAATTCCATAGGATTTCTCTGTGAGCTCTGGTAGGCCCAGAGAAACTAGTTTCTTTACTCAACCTGCTGATTTTATGGCTATCACAATAATTACTTATTGCAGGCCACATCTTAATTTATTATTTTGTAAATTACATGTAAAACATCTTTAATAAACCTTGGGCATTTGTCTTATCCACAGATCTCTTGATTATGGAAAAAAGTGCAGAAATTTGTTAGCACCAGTGAATATTGTGTGTGTGTATGTGTGTGTGTGTGCATACACACATACACACATGCTTTGGGGAAAGGTCAGTTTTAAAGAAATCTTTTTATTCCCTCCCAGCTCCCTTTCGGGGCTCTTACTCCTCCATCCCAGATGCCTTGCACTGAATTCAGGAGGCTCCCCAAGACCAGTTGATGCAGGGAAACAGGCTCTGTTCTCACCAATTTCCACTAATACTGAAGAATCAAAATGGATTGTGTTGTTAAAATACAAAGGTAGAGACAAGGGATCAGTAAATAGACACAGAGATACAGTGATTAAGATAGACTTAAGTATAAGAATAACAAGTGCAGTACCATGTAATTTATAGTCTACTAAAGGGAGGAGATTAGAAAGAGCAAGTGAATTTATTCCACATAGTGGCATGTGCTAGAAGAGAAGCAGTCCGAGCAGAGAATAAGTGGACAGGAGGGATTCACTTTCCATTGGGAAATTAAAGAGCTCTTTGAAAAATGTCAACAGGGAGTGGGTGGAATGAAAAATATGACAAAATCCTGAGGTGACAGCATTCAGTGTGCTTCAAGTACTGAAAGCAGTTTGTCACTAAAGGATGAAGCTAAGGAGAACATGGTCAGAGATAGCAGTGAAGACTCAACCACTCAAACCATTGGACAAAGTTAACTTCAAATTTTCATCACTAAGTATACAAAATAAAATTAGCAAAACTGAATTTAAATCATGTACATAACTAACCTGATTCCCTTTCGTTAAATCAATTTCATAATAGATTTGTAACACACTGTACTTGGAGATCAATTCTATGATGTCATTTCCTAAACAGCCTTCATCATAAAGGTCCATGTTAAGGAAAACACTTTCATCAAGTCTAGGTCTAAATTATTTATCATGGCAACATTCCAATAAATGGTGAGTCAAAGGGAAGATTGTTTTGCATGCAAAATTAAAGGAAATATTATAGCATTAATAGCCTCTCTAATGTACTTTTATATTTACAAAAGCATCCATCTCAAGGTTACTTGCATTTTGGTAAGTTCTATGATCATTTTATGCACAGTAAAATTTGCGTCCAATACAAATTAAACACAATCTTTTATTATTCCATCATTGATTGATTTGATGTGAAGTAACTGTTCAGACTTAATTGCTTTACTCTGAGAAAGCCCTTGGGGGAAAGCAATCCTGAGTCTACTCAACACAAGCAACTAAAAACTACAAATAGAGGTTTCAGTTTTGCCTTAAAATGTGACTCTATCAGGGTTTCAGTATGTTTCTAACCTTTAAAAATATTAAGGTTTCAAACCTCACAAGAATATAATGAAAGCTCTGACATTTACCCATACGTTGACAAAACATGCCTCAAATAAATGCTGTGCTTTCCCTGACAAAGATTTGTAAGACTTCATGTGACATTCAACTCCGCAGTTTGCTTTCAAAGAGGTGTTTTTTACACAGCAGTTCATTCCCACTTTTAAACTAAAAAAAGAGCATGAAAGAACTGGGGGAAAGAGGCAAGGCGAGAGGAGGTGCCTTTCAAAGGTTGCTCACAACCTAAGATATTTTAACTTCAACAGGCTGTGATATTGCCTTTACATCATTTTTCCACTTTAAAGGAACATGGCTGATTGTTCCTGGTAAAGTAACAACTGATTCTCTCATCTATAGGTACTCTCCAAAAAGCACTCATTGTATGCTGGCCCCCAAAATGCCTAGGCAGGCTCATCAACGGGCTCACCACCAGGCCTGTTTCCAAGACGCTGCACAAGGCGACCCCCAACACACCTCACATGCCCACCTGCTTCTCCTACTAACTACTGACAACCACCCCGCTCCCTGTCTTTTGACATGAGCAATGCAACAGTCTCTAGGATTTTAATATTTGGTGCAACTCTGTAATCTAACAGAAACCACTAAGCATTCAAAGGTCAGTGTAATTAGAATATGGCACATTATCATGACCATTTGTTTTCTTCCATCTCAGAACTTTCTCAGCTTCTGGATATGTGGGCACATAGTAATACTGCTTTACCAGAGTCCTGCTGCAAAGTCATAATGGCTGTCATTCCATATTGATTAACTCATCTCAGGGAATTTGCTTTAAAATAACACAGCCTTTAATTTCACCAAGCATCCTTGGCTCTGATTTCAAACACTATCCAATCTTTCATTCCACAAATGAAGGAAACAGCAGAAGAAAACAAGAGACCTCAACATTGGAACTATTTCATTTTGGATTATTACTTGGTGGTGGCAAATTTTACTGCTTTCAGTCTCAAGAGGACTTGTCTGTACACTGTATATTACATGTATGTGTACTGTAGAGTAGTTTGGCTTCTGAAGACATTTCCTCCATCAAAGTTAAACAGGCACTCTGGAGAATACTGTAGGTTTTTGCTCTTGACTGACCGAGCACATTCTATTGCTGTCAATCCAAGCAGGGTATCCCATTTGCAGTAAACAGAAAGTCCTCCCACACCACAAATGCAAGGACTATTTGTGTGTGGCGGGGGGGGGGGGGGGGGTTTGTTTTGCAGGCACAGAACCTGTCTTTCAAATACGCAAAGCATCCATTTTAATGAGATTTTCCAAAAACGCAAGGATGGGGCTGTACCCCTCACCTAAGTGGAAGTTCGCTTGTTTCAAAAATTGCCGGCGACTTTTCCCGAATTCCGCTGACAACTTCTACCCTGGAGGAGAGAAAAAATGACTCTAATTTCCTCTTAATCTCAAAAACATCACTGCAAACATGAAAACATTTTGAGCCAGACTCCCAGGTGGTTCAGCCCAAAAAGCAAACTCCTCATTCTTCGGACCCAAGGCAGGGAAAAACGAATGTCCGGCTCTAAGCCTGCTACTTGGTGAAGCACGTCCAATACTCCCCTCCAACTCCCCTAAGACCTTAAGCCTCCCTTTGAGGTGCGACACTCAACACCCAAAATATCTCCCACACAACTTGCACACCGTATTTTTTACACTTCCATGATTCACACTGCAAAAGGGGGGGGGCTGTGAACTCAAAAGACAGTGACATTTGAAAATTAAAACTCCAGCGTTAGCAATCGAACACGTCTGCAAAGAGCCTGGCTCGAACACTCCAACTGGGACCACACTCTGGCGCTGTGCTCCCAGCCAGAGCAGCCAATCACAGGCTTTTTCAGCCGTTGCCATGGGCACATTGTGTGTGGGGCGGTTATGTGTCCTTCCAGGAGCCAATCGGTGGCCAGCCCTGCCGTTGCCATGGCTGCTCCGTGTAGAGGGACCACTTAGGTTCCTCGCGTCCTAGCCCAGGAACCAATCGGCGGGCGGCTAAGCCGTTGCCATGGTCACACTGCGTGTTAAAGCCACGCAAACTCTAGGCAACAGAGACGGCCGCGCTGCTTCAGCTCCCGGGCTCATAAGGGCTCCAGCAACCGGAGACACCAGCCGCGCCAGGATTCCACGAGCACCTGGCATGAATCGAAAGAAGCTGCAGAAACTGACGGAAACCTTAACTAAAAATTGCAAGCACTGTAAGTAAGAATCAAATGCTGGACAAGCCGAGGCTCCTAGACCAGGTGTCTGTGTAACCCAGTCCAATTAGGAATTACCCTTGCCCTGCCTGCTTCCTGCCTCTAGAAAGGAGGTACTGATGGAACCCCCACCACCCCTCTGCCCTAAAAAGAAGTCTGGAAAAGAATCCCATCCTTGGATGTTAGTTCCTTTGGGCAGGCCACGCCCAGGATCTTAAGAACTCATATCCCTGCATCTCGAGCTACCGACACTCCAGATGCACTTGCTTGCTGCTCTGACCCTCCCCTCAAATTACTTTTACATTGTAGAAACGAGATGATATGTGCCCACAAGACATGTAGTTTTAGCCTCAGTCTGTGGTAATAAAGAAGTAGCAGAATCCAAAGGACTCAGAAAAGTACCACAAGCAACGTATAATATGGACCCTAGGCTGCTTTCTAACTCTTTTTAGAGCAAAATAAATCGGCAGGTTTGCATTGTGGAAACTTACCAAGAGATGCACAGTGGGAAATAGCCATCACCTTCCACTCTTTTCCGGGAAAGGTGAATTGAAATGGCACAGAAACCTGTGACTCAGAACGAGATTGTTGTGAGCCCAAATTGATCAGTGAAGCTAAACACATGGTAAAGAATCTGTTTCCCAATTTTAGACTTCTTTTTTCCAGGTACTAGTAAGATTGAAAGGGAAGAGAAGCATTGCACATGACAAGATAAGTACTTATTAAAGATACCTGCTGTAATCTCACATTTGAAAAGGTGGTCCCAGAACTTCATGGGTCACTTTAGGATTGTATTCATATTGAAAAACAGAACTGTACTTACACTAGGAAGCCACGGATGAGGTGTAAATGAGGAAGATACTACCTGGTGTGCAAACTTGGAAGTTGCAAGTTCACTGCAAAATTACTGGCCTCTTGAAAACACTGGAGAAGCCATAATCCTCAAAATATGCCCATTGTGCAAAGAAGGGGAATAAACATGTTTTTGTGTAGTTCTGTCTCAAGATTATGGGTTCTAGTGCCTTATCATCATCATCATCATCATCATCATCATCATCATCATCATCATCATCTGTATCTGATTTTTGAGTGGTAAATGTTCTCTGAATGGAGTGACCCCATAAATAAAAGTTATAGTGAATATAAGCATCTTAAAATTGCCTTTAAAAAGGTATCTTGTAATTTAAGTTGTTATCATGGTTATGGTAATTTGATAAGGATTTTGTTCTGTTGTTTTTCTTAAAATACTTTCATTTCTGGGGGAAAAACAGATTTCCTTAAAACATCTAGTAAACATTTTTTGGTAAATTCTCATAACAAATCCAACAATTTCTATACCCAGAACTGATTTTGATTTAGTCTCTGCTCAGTAATTTTGCCATGCATTGCAAACAAACATCCTCTGAACAATTAAAAGGTGAATACATGTATTTAAAGATAAGTAAAAAGGTCTCAGAAAAAGAAAACTCTTGATTTTTATTCTTACACAAAAACCTTGATGATTACTAGTTAAAAACAAATGTCACTACATTCTATAGAAATAGTTGCAAGTCATGGATGGATAATAGTTTAAAATTTGTTTAAATAGAAGGCTTTTACAAAAAGTCAAATTTCTGCTCAGTTGACAGATAGTAATACAATGGATAAAATGGACACATTTTTTTGAACCAGGGAAAAAGAAAAGTTCTTTCCTAAGCATCTAGTTAATCCACCATTATACAATTCTATAAATATAATCTGCACAACACATGTACGACATTCCAAAAAGATGACATTTTTTCTAGTACTCTAGAATTCAAGTAGTAATTTCTACAATTTTTAACTTTTATTTTTTAAGTTTTTAAACTTTTATTTCAGCTGAGATGGAAAAGTGGCTAATCAACATACTCTTCAGCTAGCATTTCATGCACATGAACAATGCACATTATTCTTCATGTAGGTTTTTCTTCTCCAACTACTAACAGCTTTTGGGGTTTTTTAAAGAGCTTTCCATGTATGTGTGCATATGTGTGTATGTTATGTATATCATAAAATTTACTATTTTTACCATTTTAAGTGTGTAATTCTGTAAAATTAAGTATAGAAGTCCTCCCTTATCTTTAAGATATATGTTTCATGATCCCCCAGTGGATGTCTGAAACCATAGATAATACCAGACCCCATATTGCCCATATTTTATCTTATATATACATACTTAGGATAACATCCAATTTATATTACAAATTAGGAACAGTAAGAAATGTATAGCAATAATGAATAATAAAACAGAATAGTATAGCAATATACTGAAATCAAGGATATTTAAGACAAAAATTCTTTCTTTCTATAATTTTTCCCTTGGTTGACTGTGGCTAACTGAGTCCTTGGAAAGCGAAACGTTGGATAAGGGGCAACAACTGTGCACTCATACTGTCATGCAGCTGTCACCGCATCCAGCTCCAGAGCTTTTATGTTTTCCTCAGCTGAAGTCCTATCTGAGTTACACAGTAGCTCCTCATTTTCCCCTTTCCCCAGTCTCTGGGAACCACCATTCTTCCTTTTGTCACTGTGACTTTCACTTGGAAAAGAGTGGAATCGTGCAGTACTTACCCTCTTCGCTCTGACTCTTTCCAGTTAACGTCCGTAAGTGTTCGTCCATCCTGAACCACACAATAGTATTTCCCTTCCTTTTTAGGTCAAATAATGTGTTGTACGATGACATAACATTTCATTTAGCCCTTCATCCAACAATGAACACTTGGGGTGCTTCTTTTTGCTACTATGTTATTCATAATAATGCAACATTGTCAACACTGATTTACTTACAAGGAGCTAGTCCAGTTCCTGCTTTCAATTCTCGGGTGTATATGCTCAGAAGTGGGATTTCTGGATCATTTGGTAATCCTGTGTCTAACTTTTTGAAGAAGCACTTCAGTGTTTTCAACAGTGACTGATAGCTTATTTTAAAATTCTTTTCTGCTATTTAATTCATTTACTACATTTTTCCTTTTCCAAAGTTTTAAACCTTTCTCTGAAAATGTGGTTTTGAAATAAAAAATTACACTCAAGCCTATTCTGACCTATAAACTGAGATGTAATTTCTCTATTCCTCTGTGCTGTTTTCTTATATATGCACAAAGGTTTTGTCTTTGTTTTTGAAAATATTCAACCACAATTTTGTCTGGAATAAAATTTTCCCTGTTTTCCACTCATGGTTCACATTTAGAGTCACTTTTATATTCTCCATGCCAGGTAGTAACCCTTCCACCTACATACTTCAAATGACTATTGGAAAATAAATAATTATCTCTGTGCTTATTAACACCATCCTTTATGCAATTATGTGTACAGGCAAGTGTCTCTCTGTGTATATAGCCTTTAAATATAAATGACTTTCTTCTAAAGTACTACTGAATAGTGCCATGTTATTTTTTTTTCACATAACCCGTAATGGAAGCCATATTGAGTGCTAGAACATGCTTAATATTTCTTTATTGAAAAATAGGCGATTCTGATTTCCAAAAGGTTGGTTATAATTCACAAAGTGTAAAGTGAAATAAGAACCGTCACTTAGTTTTCAGAAGCCTGATATGGATTTCCAGGGAAAATCTAAATTGTAAATCTGATGAATTCCTGTAATCAAAATGCTAGCTAGTTTTAAAAATAAGTTACTACTCTTAAGCGTAAGCATTCTTATTTTGAATCATTCCTCTACGAGCCTTGCTGAGTTTACAATCTGACATTGAAATTATTATTCAGGTTACTTGGCTAATATTTTCTTTTTTCCTCAACATGATTGAGCTTAGGTCTATTTCATATCTGATGTCTATTTGGAAGAAACAATGCTTTTTTTTTTGACAATCATTGGCCATCATCTTCCATTAACTTAGGTGTCATGAACCGTAAAATAGGATGATCTAGGAACAACTACATATTTGGTGTTTTTGATACTGTATTTATATAAATCCATTAATGCATTGTCACTTAAAGATTTAACATGCACATTTGTGAAATCTTAATTTTATTATTTTACAGTTAATAAATTTGAAGTGAGCTGTCTTATAAAGCTTTTCTATAATTTGGTGGGAGAAGCAGCCAAGCGGCCAGGGGTGGCCATTGGACTAGATCGCAATGCATTTCGGAACATTCTTCATGTGACATTTGGAATGACAGATGACATGATTATGGACAGAGGTAAGAGGTATATACAATTCAAATCAATCAAATCCAGCCATAGCTGGAGTAAAAATGGAGTTTGGTCATGCTCTTGGTAGGAAGTTTAATGTTCAACATTCCCAATTTTTCTTGAATATAAAAATTTAATTTTCCAAAATTCATAGAACAGAAAGTGATATTCTGCTCATTTTGTGAATTTAAAAGAAGGCAAAGTCAAGTTGAAGAGATAAGTTTCCCTTATCTTGTATCAAAAAGCCCAAAACATTTCTAATTCTACATAGTAATCCCATAGAGTTTAAAAAGATATTTAAATTTCTGTACATCTTAGACAATAACTCAATAAAAATTATGATACAATCTTCTCATATTATTACTTGAGTCATAAAATATAAAATTATATATTTCATATTAATATATTAAACATATCTAATATAAGTAGCATATTTAATGTGCAAATATATCATTATTGATTGTTGATTCTTATATTTAGATACTCAGAATATTCTTTGTTCTCACAAAATATGGAAAGAAAATTTGAATGTTGAAAGTTTCCTGATGTTATAATATCTTAGTTTCCTCTTTTGTCAAATGAGAACATTGGGCTGTGGGATTCTGAAGTTTTCTCTGATTTTAAAAACAAATAATGCTAATGTAGATAAGTTATAGAGAATTTAAATGAGTACAGCTATCTCCCACTCTCTTTCTCTCTCTCTTCTCTCTTAAGTATTCCGAGGTTTTGATAAAGACAATGATGGCAATATAAATGTTACAGAATGGGTTAATGGATTATCACTGTTTCTTCGAGGATCTTTAGAAGAAAAAATGAAATGTAAGAGTTCTGCTTATCCTACCGGTTTGTATATGATTAACATGGCTAAAACATCTAAATCATTGTCCTCCAGCCAGTCAATTGGGTTTATAGTTGTTTGGTTGGTTGGTTTTTTGGTTGGTGGTTGGTTGGTTTGTTGATTGGTTGCTTGGTTGCTTTAAATCCTCACTAGCTTCTTACTGGAGGAAATTCAAGTCAACAAGGATGAAAAAAAAATAGTAAAAATGAAAAATCAAGCAATTGTGAAAATGATGCATCCCAAGGAAGATGCCATATGCATTATTAAACATTCTAATTATGTGTGTGCTGTATACATTTCTGTACAAGAATTTCATGTTACTTGAATTGTAGACATCAAAACAGACCACAGTAATTCAATTGGTTTGATTCTATTTAATTTTCAATTCATTTTGATCAACTCCATTGAAAAGGTTTATATCAATTAGTGTTTTAAGAGCAGCAAGATCAAAATGTCCAAGTCATGGTTCCTTGGTGTGATTTTTCATAGATGAGGATAAGGGAACTTTTTCCAAGGGTTGTTGAAAATATCCAACTAGTGCATATTGAACTTTCTAATGAAAATGAGATTACAATAAGGTTCACAGGGTTGAACAAGATAGACATTAGCCCTAAAAACTTGATCAGAGAAAATGTTATTCCAGCAATAAAAGCAAATTCATAACTTACTTTTTTAAAGATTGCTTTGAAGTGTTTGATTTGAACGGTGATGGCTTCATTTCAAAGGAGGAAATGTTTCACCTGCTGAAAAACAGCCTTCTCAAACAACCATCTGAGGAAGACCCTGATGAAGGAATTAAAGATCTGGTTGAAATAACACTTAAGAAAATGGCAAGTGTGGAGATTCAGAGATTTCTATTGAAATTTATGGGCTACATGTGGAATATAAATAAAAATTCAAATTATGATAATTTTAGGTTTCCTGTTTAATTAAATGACACACTTGAATTGTGCTCTTTACTATAATACTAAAAGTTCTTTGGGGCTGGTGGTGTAACTCAGTTGTAGAAAGCTTGCCTCCCATGCAGAAAGCCCCAGGTTCCATCCGCAGCACCCTCAAAAAATTCTTTTCAATTTCATAACTTAATCTGTTATTTTTCTAACACCTTTTTTCTGTTCGCACTTGATTATGAAAAGAGTATCTATTTTCAGTAAGTTGTGTGTTGACTGACACATTGCTGCTGCCCACCCTCCTGTCCCCAGGACTATGACCACGATGGGAAGCTCTCTTCCGCAGACTATGAGAAGGCTGTGGGAGAAGAGACTCTTCTTCTGGAAGCCTTTGGACCCTGTCTGCCTGATCCAAAGGTAACAATATTACTTTCGCTGAACCATAACTGAAATAGAATCTAGGAGGAAACAGTCCAGAACTTCTTGGTTTGGTGAGTGATATACCAGAAGAATCATGGTTACTGATAGAGAGAATAGCTTCTAAATACAAAAGACCATAGAGAAGAGCCTGCTGCTCCATCTCATGGTATTATCGTAGCCCAGTGCTATATTTTTTATTCATGAATTTATTCATATTAGCAACAATTGATGAGGCTTCCTATATGGGCCAGAAGCATGGCTGCATTCAGGGCAAAAACCAACATGAAAATAATTATGGAGCAGTATGGCGAGTATTATAATATTTACTGATTTGTATGGCGCGTTGTCTATGCCAGGTAATGTCATAAGAACTATGTCCCATATCACCTCATCTAACCTCTCTAACAACCCTATGAAGCAAGTAGTATGATCATCCTCGTCACAGATGTGGAATTTAGGCAACTTGTTAATATTCATTCACTAATTAGTGGAATGGAGCCTGGTGAGAGGCAGGGAGAAAGACATCTCCTTCAATATGTGGAAACACTGGGCAATGAGTGTGCATAAGAAGGCTTCTCAGAAAGACTGGGTTTCAGAAATAAGCAGGTCAAATGGGAGGTGATAATTTAATCAAAAGGAGTGACACGTGTAAAGAAAGAGTGTGGAAGAGAGAGAGCATGAGACATGACAATGGGTCCCTCTTAGGTGAGAACTTGGTGTGCATGAGGCTGGAAGAGAGATAGTAGGTTCCCAGAAGGACCATGTCCTGTGTAGCTTGGGTTTTATCTTGAAGGTAATGAGGAGTCACTAAGGGTTTTAAGCAAGTGGAGTGATGTGATTCGTGATTCGTTCATATCCCCATTTCCTTAAGCTTTAATTTGTATCTCTAGCTGTCTATTTCACATGTTCCCTTAGATACCCTCAACAAATTTGGTTTTCCCCCCAAATTTGCCCCTCTTCTAGTCTCCCTTGTGTCACTAAGTGATACCCCAACGCACCTTGTTATTCAGCCAGAAACTGAGGAGCCATTCATAACTTCTCTCCTGTAACATGCTAAACCATTGCTCCAAACTATAACTTTGAGTATAACCTTTTCTCTACACATCTCTTTGCCACTAACCCACATCAACGCACCTCATCTCTCACCTAGCCAAAATGATGAGCTTTCTTGCTTCCACTGTTGTCCCGCTGCTGCCTTTTCTCCACAGTATCCACCATATTTAAAAATGGAAATGTTATCATGCCCACCCTTGCTTGAAACCCCTCACTGGTTTCCAAAGAGCTCAAGTGGCTGCTTTTCTTCTCTCCAGCCACATCTCCCACACATCCTTATTCTCTTGTGTCCCCAGAGCTGCACCCCGCTGTCTTGCTTTCCTTCCCTCCCTGCCTTACACTTGCTGATGTTCTGCTCAGATGCCCTTTTCCTAGGCCATTACATGTCTCAGTCCTTCCCTTTATCTAGTCTTTGTTCAAATGTCACTTCCACATGGAGTCTAGTCTTAGCCACTGGAACTACTTTACCCATGCCACCCTCTAATGACTATCCTTTTCCTTGCAGTTCTTTATCTAAAGAACATGTACTTATTTACTTATGGTCTGTCTCACCCATGCCATCCTCTAAAGACTCTTTTTCTTTCTAGTTCTTTATATTATCTAAAGAGCATGCACTTATTTACTGATGCTCTGTCTCACCACATAGATGTAAGCTCCCTGAAGTTACAAACTTGGTTCTTTTCTCACTATTTTCCCTCATCATGTGTGTAGCACAAAATAGGTACCTAGTAAATGCTGGAAAGGTAAGAGGATGGCTGAGTAGATGGGTGGACATCTGCAGTGTCCAGTGGAGAGTTCTGAACCTGTCTCCCTCCTCCTCCTTCACTTCCTCCCCAGAAATGCTTCATCCTCTACCTTTACCTTTACCCGACATCTTCAGTCTTTTCCCTCACGTGTAAAATCTTCCCATTAAGATTCTAAAAGATCTTAAATTTGTGCCATCTGAAAAAACTAAAAGAGGAAAGGAAGGAAAGAGGATGGAAGAGTAAGAGGGCAAGAAGGAAGAAAAATTTACCTTAATTCCACAGCTACTTCTACTTCCAGTCTAGCAGATATCCTTCTCACTGCCAAACTTCTTGAAAGAATTCTCTGGATTTAAAACCAACACTACCATGTACTTCTGAAACTGCTGTTGCTGAGGTCACACCACCCTCCTTCTTAATACATCCTCTGAAGGCACTTGGGTCTTTGTCTTGCTAAACCACATTGCTTCCTCACTCTGGCTGCCTGCCTTCTCCTGCAACCCTCACAGCCTGACGTGTCTCCCAGGTTCTGGCCAGTATCTGTCACTCGGTGGAGGCTTCTCGACAGCTGGGTCACAGGGTCTTGTCCACCTTTGTGGCTCCAGAACTAAGTGTCACACTTGGAATATAGTCAGCACTGACCACATCTATGAGTGAAAAACACATGAACACTAGAAATTCACAGGATTCCCTCTCCCTCAGTTACCTTGTCTCTAGAAACGTTGGACAAACATACCCAGCATTTTTGTTTTGTTCTACCTTTTTTAGAAATTGTACTAAGTTAAGCATTTTATTTTACAGAGCCAGATGGAATTTGAAGCCCAAGTATTCAAAGACCCAAATGATTTCCATGATAATATGAATTCCTAAATGTGTTTTCTTTCAAGTGAGTACGAAAAAGAGTGCATACCTACTTTACTTTCTCTACTTAGCTGAATGATGCTTGGGGGTGGGGATAAAGTTCACTTACATATATCACTTAATGCTATATAAGGTGCAAGTAACACAACTGGGAGATGAGAATTTCCTTACTAGGGAGACAAAAAGTTCCTTACTAGCTGCTGGGTGTGGCAAGGCAGGTTAACATTTCCAGAGATATTTTATCACAGATTGTCTGTTGAAGTACAAAACTGTCATAAGACATCTAGATTCACCAAATTAATGGGCAAATTATATAATCACTAATTATGAATACAAATATTCTTCCTGTCAGAAAGAGTCTGGGTATTCACTGAAAAATCATGGAAACTGATGAATTTTTGTAGCAATGAACAATTAAGATATTATCAAAAGAGTAATAATACTGGCATTTAGCATTGAAATATCTTTATTGCTAGGTATTGGGTGAGATACAGATAAACAAAAGATACATGGAGCCTACTTTATTAGGATATAAACTATTGTGTGAGGATCTGCCTTAACAACCTTCCCAACTTGTAAGCTTCTGAGGGCAGAGATTTTATCCACACACGTGTTCATACCTTCCCTAGCAGTTGGTCCTCTGCATAGACAGAGCATCCAATGGATACAGTGGATTGGACTGACACAAACTCTGGATGAGCAGTAAAAGAGGAACATTCTGTTTCTTGGGCTTAATGGAAAATGCAGGGACACACCTTTCAGTTAACCTCAGGAATCATTTCAGACCCTACTCTCGCCCTGAAGCCAGGTGCCAAAGCCCTCTCTGCTCTGCTCCCAGGGTCTCCACCCCAACTCTGCTTGGAGAACCCACACAACAGCTTGGGTGCACTACAGGGTCACAGTCCCTCTGCTACCTAGATTCCTCTTGTGCACACCTTTATCCTGAAGACAAAAACTGCTTCCTTCAACTCTCTAACAGGTGTTGTGGGCATCAGGTGGAGCATGAGAAAGACACCCTAGTTAGGTTTGTGGAACTACTTGCTGCGTCTTTAGCAAACATATGTAAACAGCTGAGAGAAACTTTATATGTCATCTGTTTGCAATGTGTACAGACATTTAGATAGAAAATACCTTTTGTGACTATATATGCATTCATTTTGAAGTTTAAGCAAAAGAGTATATTGTGTGAAAAAATAGAATGTTACTTAGAAATGAAATAAGGAATTCTGTGAAATAAAGAGAAATATTTTGCAGTGCAAATATTTTCTATGTAGATGAGCTTCAACACAATTATTATTCTATTTGCAGTAGATAAAAGCAATGCAACACACATTTTAAAATTCTCTCCCATCTTTACTGAGAGATAATTGCCCAATTAAAATTGTATATATTTAAGGTGTACATTTTCAAGTTTTGAGATATATGTGTATTGAAATAATTGCCACTGTGAAGCTAATTAACATGTCCTTCAATTTGCATGCTTATTTTCTCTTTTAAGGAGAGATCTACCCCTTTTTAGCAAATCTTGAGCATCTAATATAGTATTGCTAACTATACATACATAGTCTGCCTCCAGAACTAGTTCATTTCGCATAACTGGAAATGTATACCCTTTGACTACACCTCCCAGTTTTCTACTCCCACCCCTAGCAGCTGGCAACCTCTGTTCTACACTATGTTACTGTGAGTTTCACTACTGAAGATTCCACATGTAAATAAGACCATGCTGCATCTGTTTCATTGTGTTTTTTTCTGTGTAGATTTCATTTTGCTTATCATAAGTCCTCCCTGTTCATCCATGTTATTGTAAATAACATAATTTCTATTTTTAGGCTGAATACTATCCCATTGTGCATGTGTATTTATGTATCTATATACATCTATGTATGTATGTCATATTTTTATCCACTTATCTATTGACAGTCATTTAGCTGTTTCTAAGTTATGTCTACTATGAATAATACTGAAATGAACATGAAGGTACAGAGGTCTCTTTGTGATACTGATTTCATTTCCTTCAGATATATACCTAGAAATGGGATTGTGCGCTCATATAGTAGTTCTATTTTTCAATTTTTGGAGGAAGTTCTGTACTATTTTTTTAATAGCTGCACCAATTTGCATTCCCTCAACAATGTTTAAGGGTTCCCTCTTCTCCGCATCCTCACCAACATTTATTATCCTTTATCTTTTTAGAAATAGACATTCTGACTGGGTGAGGCGATGTCTCAGTATGGTTTTGATTTGCATGTGTCTTCTAATTAGTGATATTTAAACCATTTTTATACACTTTTTAGCCATTTGTGTATCTTTGGAAAATGTGTAGTCAAGTCCTTTACTGATTTTTTAAATTAGATTTTGGGGGTTTTGCCCTCAAGTAGTAGCCACAGGTGTGAGGGTACAGCTAGGAAGTGTGGCAGCACTAGTTCTAAATGGGCACAGTGGTTTGGACCTGGGGCAGCTCCTTCAGTTGAGGTCATCGGTTGCAGGTGATGCCTGCAAGGTCATCACTAATGAAAGCAGCAGGCATTTCACCATCCCCCACCTTATTGGTGGCAGAACTGCTGCAGCCCTCAGTAGGGAAAGGTTCTGGGGTCCTGCTACTATTCTTTCCTTCCACAGAGAGAGGCCGTTGCTCCGGGGATCCCTCTTGTGCACTAGCTGGTTTCTGCTTGGGGATGGGACAGTGCATATAAAATAATTCTAATACTTTTCATGTAGCCATCCTTGGGTTTTGTGCCTTAATGGGTTGTGGCAGCTTCTGCATTTTACCCTGAGCTCTCCCAGAGCTGTTTGTGGCTCATTGTTAATTGTTGTGGTTGGAGGTGGTGAAGGCTGGGACCTTCTTGTTCAAGATCTTGTTGATATTACTTCCTCACTTAACTTTTTAATTAACTTTTCTGATTATTACAAAGTAATTGAGGTCCGCTGAAAAATATTTCAGAAATATTAATAAATTTTAAAAAATAAAATATTAATATTCTGCTGTAGATTCAGGCTTTTAAAAGACATTTGTGAGTATACTTATGTAGTTTGCATTTTGCAGAATATACCTATATTTTCTCAGATAACCATATTGGAAAGATATTTTTGCAAGCTCTTTTCTTAATGCCAATTCCTCATGAACAGTTTCCTTTTTTAATTAATTTTATTGGTACACTTTAGGTATACAATACAATGACATTCACCATTGGAAATTTGCACCTTAACATAATCTCTCTTGGTTATTTTTTTCCCCATTCCCCTGCCCTCCCTTCAACCCCTCCATCCCCCCCTATTTACAAAGATTTTTTTCCTATTTTTCCATTTTCTCATATTAATTCCATTCCCTTCTTTCCTTTCCCCTACCCTTTCCACTTCTCCTTCTCCTTTGCCCCTTTTCTTCCTATTTCACACTACCTTTTATACATTTAGTCCTTATTTACACTTTCAGTTTCTCACACCAGAGAAACAATTCGATATCTGTACATGTGTGTCCTATTTATTTCACTTAAGAGTATCACCTCAATGTGCATCCATTTAGCTATAAATGTCTCTAGTTTCTCATTCTTTATGGCTGAGTAGTACTCCATTTTATTAAAAAAACACATTTTCTTTATCCAGTCTCCAGTTGATGGGCATTTGGGCTGCTTCCAAGTTTTAGCTATTACAAACTGTGCTGCTATGAACATGGGCGCACATATATCACTGTGGTATGATTCTTTGAATTCTTTGGGGAAGATCCCCAGCAGTGGAATAGCGGGGTCAAATGGGACTTCCAGTCCTAGTTCTTTGAGGTATCGCTGTACTGATTTCCACAGTGGTTGCACCAGTCTACACTCCCACCAGCAGTGGAGCAGGGTTCCTCTTTCCCCACTGCCCCACCAGCATCTGTTATTGGTTGATTTCATGATAGCAGCCATTCTTTCTGGAGTGAGGTGGAATCTCAGTGTTGTTTTCATTTGCATCTCTCAAATGACCTCATGAACAGTTTCTAAGTCAAGAAGTATTTATCTACAACCTGGCTTGCATTGCCTGCCTGGTGTTCCATTACCTCAGACTGTGTAAAACCACTTACCTATCACAATATTTTGGCCGTTGCCATGTTTTGATATGGTAAATTATTCAGAAAGTGAGCATTCCTACAGATTAATCTTTTTACATGCCTCATTACTTTCTAGGGTTAAGTATTTTTGAAGTAGAATTGTTGAGTTAGAGGCTCTGCATGACTCTGAGATTTCTAGCACATGCTGCCTGATCATATCCCATAAAGGCTTCCCAACTCTGCCACCCCCAGTGTAGGAGAAACCCGTCCCCTGAACTACAGTGAATATCCTTTTCATTTCCTCACTGATGTCATGGACCATCTATGAGCATGATTTACATTTATCATTTGAAGACATACATCTGTACTTAAACTTTTTATTATAAGTTGACTATTTTGACCTCTATGTGAATAATGCTCTGTTATTACTATTATTTAAACCTTTAAAAAAGGTTAACCCAAAAATCCCTAAATGATGTCAGTGTGATTTAGGATGATGCTGAAATGTGACTGGAAGGACCCAGTGCTTCATTTCTGGACATCTGAGTAGAACATACCAGATGTCTGCTGCTCCTCCTCACACTGTGCCGAAAGCGTGTACTGCTGGTACTGTATGTACACTGTCAGAGTCTCTTGATTTCGCTACTGTAGCAACTCATAAATGACTTTAACTTGAACATTCATTCCTTTGATAAAAGAGCCATCTGTGTACTTTTGGACCATTTGTACTTTTGTACTTTAGGATTGTTCTTTGAAGAACAGCTCTCTCCCCTCAGCCTATTGTAGGGCTCATTTTCCTGCTGCGTGCCCTGAAGTACAGCCAACTTAGAGCCCAGGCACGGCTGCCTCTGGAGTGGCTGAAAGAGGGCAGTGGACAGGCAGTGATGATTTGGAGGGTTGGCTATTGGCCTTTTCTCACCAACTCCTCAGTATCTCGCCTTCCTCTTTATTCCAAGAGCAGCAGAAAGTTGAATCACCCACCTTTGAGAGAGGTACACACCACCCCACAAGCAGCACAGAGACATTCTGTTTGGGAAACAATCTTTTTTTTAACTACAGGATTTAAAAACCACCCCTGAAAACTGGTAGTCCTGCATTCTTAACCCACAAATATCTCTGTGTACAAGACTCCACTTGCAAGAAACCAGGCCTGCAATGGCTCGTACCATAAAATCATCCCAAACATTCACCAGGCTCCCACTCCGTGCCATGAGGATGAATGTACCCTTCACATTTGTGATGGAGGTAGACTGTTCTGTACCACGCATGGTGATGTCACCACCTGTCGATGTTTGGGTTCATTGTAGCAGCCCCTCTCCTCCCATTACAGCGACACACAGTAATGCATGGTAACATCATTTTAAATTGAAGACAGTTGATAAAGGAAATTAAAAATTAAATATGAAGACAACCATCTGGACAGAGTTCCTTGGAGGTGCTCTAAATTTTCCATATTTCTAGATCCTGTGTCAAAAAGAGACAACCGAAGTATATTTGTGTTTTCTCATGCAGCGATTGCCCCCTCTGTTAGAAGTGGATGATCTTTTGAAGTATTTTCCAGTCTAAATTATCATTGAAGAAGAAAACAATCCAAATACATGTTGAATAAACCAAAGGCCCCTCTCATCAGATATATCTCAAGGATTCTTGCTCAATTTTGTGGGATAGGAGAAAAGGAAGGGAATATAATCCTAAGGTCTCCTGGGAGAAAGGAGGCATCCTCCTGCAGTCGAAATGCCCTCATCAGAGTCCCATTGCTCTCAGCAGCAGTTAGCTGCTCACAGTTCCATCCTTGGTAATTTGTGGCTTTCTGCATACCTCCTGCCTCCTACCTAATCCACCAAGAAAATATTCCTCCCACTAAGACACACATCCTCTTGTTTATTTTTGTCTCCCTCCTGCTTTCTCAGCTCCACAGTGTCCTTATTATGTGGCCCCAGCCAGGCTCACAGAGAGCTCCTTGGGGTAAGGGCTTGTCAGCGTAAAGGACATTTGAATAAATTGGGTGAAATAGAGTCGGTCCTCCCTTTAACCTAAGGTGCAGCTTCCCTCCTCCTGTCAGCATCTCTAAAATCTTTGTGTGGGTGATGGGGGACCCTGAGCAAGCTGTCACCCACATAAAGACACTGCATTCATCCTAAGATGCAGACCCACATGGCAGGAAGCAGGGGGATTCCCAAGTACTCTGTATGAGGTGCATTAGGAATATGAGTCACCACCCCTGTGGAGGAACCAGTAGCACAGAAGCACAGAACAGTCTAGAACACTAACTAAAGCCACTTAGACAAAGTTTTCTTAATGAATCCTTTTGACTCAGAAAATGGAATAAAATCCTCAGAATCTTTTGTTTTTGGTACCGGGGATCTAACCTGGGACCTTGTGCTTGCAAGGCAGGAGCCAGAACCACTGAGCTAAACCTCCGGCCCACCAATTGAAATTTTTAGAAAAGTCAAGAAAATTGTTTTGTGTCCCAGATGGGGTAAAAGGCAAAGCTAATGTTTAGATATTATCTAGTTCTAACATTAAAATTTGTCTGCAGCAACTTCTGTTCTTATAGCCACATACCACTGAGCTGTGGAGTAATTGAGTGCCCCGGGGCTACTTGAATCTTCCAATGGACCCTCAAGGCAGTAGTCACTGGGAAATGTACATGTATTGTAAGACCACTGACACCTTTCCCTGTCAATGTTTATGAGTAAGACCACTGACACCTTTCGCTGACACTTTTACCTAAATACACCCTTTCTTCAGGAGAAACCTTCAGCTTGAATGTAGAGACTTTCATATTTGGTACCAATAGGAGTGTGGACATTTGGCAAGGACCTTGTTCTCCCAAGAGTCTAGATGTGATGAACTGCATGCCTTGGCCATCAGGCTGTCAAACCCCGGTGACTCCAAGGCCAGTCAACAGATGACAGAAAGAGTCATGTACATGTGAGAACATGGATTTTATAGATCTGAATCTGCAGCCAACCATGTCTATCCTGACGTCCTCTTATGGTCACAAAATACCACATGGCGCTGTGCCGATCACATCCACTTTGGAAGTCTGATATAACTAAGCATGATTTATAGATTTGTAGAGACTACAGTATTTGTCATTCAGACTAGGATGATATTGAGAGTGAAAGGAGAGATTCACAATTACATTTAAACCATGTGATCTGGGGTTGTCCAAGGCAGAGCAGGATGTGTGTTCATTCATTTGTATCCTATAAATCACCCTACAAATTATATTTTTGTAAAATGATATTAACAGCTGCTCTCTGTCCCTGCTTCATAGGATTTTTGTAAGACAAGAATGAATAAAATAATATCTATTATTATTATTTTTTAAACTATAAAGTATTACGATATAAATACATAGATTATTACAGGTAAGCATTGAGTACTCTGTCTTGGAGTAACCCTACCACAGCAGTTCATGTATAATTAAATATGGAACCAACAGCATGGTCTTTGGTAACTCTAACTCCTGGCTGCTGGGTTCTGCCTTGTGGTAGATGTATGACATTGCTGCCTTAGCATAAGGAAGTTGCAGAATATTTTCTACAATATGTTTAATAGCTGAATTAATTTAGAGAAATTAATCTCATGAAGCTAGGATAATGCTCTATTGTAAACACCAGTAAGATTGTAGCCCTCTTGGACTTAGTAAAATTCTCTCTCTCTCTCTCTCTCTCTCTCTCTCTCTCTCTCTCTCTCTCTCTCTCTCTCTCTCTCTCTCTCCCTATCCATATTTCTCTCTCACTCTCTCTCACACACACACACAAGCATGTGGATCTCCCTCATCACAAACTTAAAAACATAGACAAATATTAGACACACATTGTAGTTTATCCCATTTAACAGACGCATTAGCATTCCTTGAATTTCTTTCTCATCCTGCCAAGATACCA